CTGAAAGAGAAAAAACTTTCTTTGATAACTTTAAGGCCACATGATTTTAAATGGTGAGCTGGTTTGTGGAGTTGGATTGGAGTTATGTGTTTTTAAAGCTACACGAATCAAACAAGCCTTTAAAATGGGTGACATTGCAGGAATAATGGTAATTTTTGATTGTACTGCTCTGTGTTTTGGAAAATGGAAAATATGCTTTTCAAGCATGTTTAATACCAATTAACAGTGAAAAAAATGTTTGACTTTATGCACGTCAGCTTGTTTTTGCAGGGTTGCCTAAGGACAAATTGCTAATTTTATTCATGTTTAGACTGAAAGACCCAGGCTAGGACTGGAACCCAGGACTTTCTTGCTGTAATAGTACTACCAACTGCTCCACTGTGTATCTCTAATAAATGCATTGCTATGACTGCATAGTTCTAACATTCCTCTGTGTCTTTGGGAAGACAATTTACAAAGAAAGAAACCCTGTATCAGAACTTGAAAAGATGAGCTGTTATCTGCTTCGACCTAAATCAAATCAAACCAAATCAAATCAAATTTTATTTGTATAGCACATTTCAGCAGCAAGGCATTTCAAAGTGGTAGACCTAAGAAATAAAAATGCAGAGTAGGTCTGTCGCGATAAACAATAAATCAATTAATCGCACGATAAATTAAAACTATCGACCTGTTGATGACACTGAATGAAAAAAGGCTCCACTCCGGTGCTCTCCACTGACCCTCCCTTCCTTATTTCTTAGTGTAATGCTCAGCGCGCTGCACAATCTTATGTGGCCGATAATGGGCCGATTGTCGGCCCATTATCAAAACCTGAGAGACACTTTAGCCGACAGAAATCCTCGATATAACTGTCGATCGAACCGTGTTGTGTCTAACAGTGGACACAAAATAATAAGTCCAGTTCACTAATTTTGAAACCAGGCATTCATCAATTCCTTACTACAATCTACCTGCAATGCATGTGGCTACTGTCATTCCTGACTGAATGAAAATCATTATAACCTATTTATGTCACGTTAATAAAGAACAGCTGAAAAGTTACCGGGTTTTCTGGTAGAAAGTCAGATTCTTCTCTAGTTAAATCTAATGATTACTGAAGGGCAATAAACTATACAGACTTTATAATCTGCACTCTTTTGGTTGAATACAGTATTTATTTCCACTTTGGCTTTATGTTGTTTAGTTTTTATTCAAGTACATTTATTGTTAATGGAGACTGAGAATCAATTTTATTTTGGTTGTTTTATTTATTTTGTGTATCAGTCCCAGTGTTAAGTGTTCTTTTGAAAGTAAGTGTATCAATTTTTGGCAGGAAACCGCATGTATTATTACGTAATTTCCATTAAATCAGTGTATAAAGGTCTTCAAACAATATTATTGTTTATCGCAATAATTTTTTGAGACAATTAATCAACCAGCAAAATCTGTTATTGTGACAGGTCTAATGCAGAATGGCAGCTACAACAAGTACTAACTCTGGGCAGGTTGATAAGTCAGTAACTGCAGAACAGCAACATACAGCATTGGATACAATATCAACTCTAACAAGCAGAGAAAAACCTAAGTTACAGAAAAAGCAAATTTGCCAAATAATGCAAATAAGGCAGATATTTGTGCAAAGTTAACCAGTGGGTCATGGAATCCCCCTGATATAATCTGTGATGGCCTTTATACCATACATAGTAAAATTTAAATCCACCAGTGAGGTCAAATTTAAATCCACCAGTGAGGTTTTCTCCAGACGGCTATGTTGGCCATATTTCACTGATCCTCGCTCCACCGCTTGTTGCTGGGTCCTTTAGCAGCTGTCCTGAGACGATTATTGGCAATTTCAGATAAAAGCCTCACTTGCGTTGGAACTAATTGCTGCTGATGGAAATGATTAACTGTCACATTTGTCTTCGTTGTGGTATCTGGGCTATTGTGGTGTGTGAGGGCTAATTGTAGCTAGTAGCAGGAGTTCTCATGCGGCATTTTGTAGTGGGTTATACCTAATTGTAGCTGATAGTAATCGTTCCAGTCTGTGAATACAGCCCACAGCACAGAGAGGTCGAGCTTCGACGTACAGATGCTCAGACTTTGTGTGAACTTTCTGGCCTTTTATAGTAAGAAAGGCCAGACTGCAATTTCAAACAAGTGTTGGATAATTGCAATATTTTCATCGTTTCCTGCTGTATTGATTTTACTTTCTCTTAAAAATCACTCGTAAGTGTAATTATTGTCATCATTAGTGCTTTTATGAACTTTCTAAAACATCTCAGCACACACATAGGGCAGATGGAAACACACTTGGGTCAGTCGGAGCCTTTTAGGTCGGGATTTCAGCTTCATTGCTTCACCACAACGATCTGTAGTTTTCCACTGTGTATGTGTGTGTGTAAGTGAATGATGAATTCTGACTGGGTGTGGTGAACATCAGATGAGATTTTCCTTCGCTCCCTGCACTCTCTGCCTGTGTCACCCACACACACACACAAGAAGCGAGTGCCAGGGCTGGTCTAGGCGTGGGCCTTCTCAGACATAAATTGCTTTTATTTTAATAGTTGTGCAGAGGGGGCAAAGACTGGAGGCTGAAATTGTAAAATGCTACAAAGGCCGCAAAGAGAAAATGGAATTCAGCAGTCCATTTTTTCCCCCCATTTTTCCTCCTGAGCCCCCTTGGTTGCATTACAAGGGTTTTAAAATTACGTCCTTATTGTATGTGTGTTTGCATACTTTTGTTTTCAATCATCCCAAAAGGAGCTTTCAGCTACATTCCCCAAACATCTTTCGTCTAGAAGTGTTTATTCTTTATGTGTAAAAAAGAAAAAGTTAGCAGGTTGCTGTCTTTAAATAACAACAAGTATTTCAGCCTCAGATAGATCACATAGTTCTCATTGTACGCGCTATCTCTTCGCCAGATGGATCATCAAATGGGCATTATTCACTCTCTCTTTCCTCTCCTCTGTCATACTGCATTGATCTAAAAGTGATCAGTTTTGGCGTCTATCAGGCGTCTCGGCATGTTTGGGATCAAACAAACGCATACAAACATGGGTCAACGGGTTTGCTGTGTTTATGAGCCAATATGAAGAGGATAACCACAAATAAACACACTTGCACACAAAAAAACCCCCAAAACACGCAATATCTCTCTGTCACGACTGTTGTGAACAGTGCAACCACAATTGTTCTCTTTTCAAACAAAAGAAAGATTATGGTTTAACATAAAACACATGTCTGGTTATTTGGTGGCTTTTGTAAAGTGATTATAAGGGGGAAAAAGGGACGGATGGTGGAGGAGAGGGAAAAAAACAGGGTGGGTAAGAACAGAAAGAAAAATATTATTGATGAAATTACTTCAATTATCGTAACAATTATTCTTGCGTGTGGAAGAAAGGAATACGGAGGATCAAAATGTCATAGAAACAAAAAGAAACAGACCTGAAAAGTGTTTCAGAGCAGCATTTTAATCTGATAATATGACTTGCAAATGTTTTCAGACCCCTTGTTCATTTTTGGTTGTGTTTGACCAGTGTACATGTGGCCACTAAATGGTTGACTTTAAGGCTTTTTAGGCTCAAAATAGTTGAGTGGGTGGAGACTGCCAGTGAACAGCTGTTTCAAAGTCTTTCCACTGTTTCTCACTTGGTTTTAGGTCGGGACCTTTCCAACACCCAAATATGCCTCCATTTAACTTATTCCGTTGAAGCTCTGGCCGTGTTTCTAGGGTTGTTGTTTTGCCGGAAGGGAAATCTCCGTCACAGCAACCAATTTGTTGCCGGTTGTAGTAGAGTTTCTTTCAGTATTATCCTATATTTCACTTCATTCATCATCCCATGAACACTGGCCAGCTTTTCTGCAACTGTGGAAAAGAAAATTAACACAAGTTTCAATGTAGTGACTGTGTATTCAAGGTGACGTGCAAGGTTGGTTTCCATCATTTTTGTTTCTTTTGTTTTTCAATATGTTTACTGCATCTCATAGATGGCTTGAGGAAAACTGCAAACATGTCATGCCTTTTTTTTCTTGCAACAACTTCCCCTTTCTTACTTTTTCATGAAGATACAAATTTTATAATTCTTAAAGAGAATATGTTAGTTAGAGATATCTTTCTACCTGAGCTGGAACTCTCTTCATCTCCTCCAGAGTTTGCATGAACTTGGCTGATTCGATTGGTAATGTGGTCCCTGCCCAGCCTAGTAGATGGGATTTGGACTTATAACCCTGCTTTAAATTTCTCAACAACTTTATCGCTGACCTTTCTGCTGTAATCCTTGCTCTTCGTGATGCTGTTGGTTCCCTCGTGCTCTTCAAAAAAAAAAAGAAAAAAAAGCCTTTAAGGCTTACACAAAGCAGCTTCATTTTCAAAGGAATTTAAATTACACACAGGTGGCCTTTACTTACTAGCTAAATTACTTCTTTAATATATTTTATTTTGAAACATCAAAGTAGAGGGGTTAAGTACAAATGCAGTTTTTTAGAGAGTGCAGTAAACCAAAACGGAGACAAAAGGACAGGATGGTGTTTAAAGTGAATGAAAGACAGGCACAAAGACAGGAGAAGCGAATAACTTTGGAGCGCTGAAGAGGATGAGTTGCCATCCGCAGGCTCAATCATCCATCTCTCTGATATCGGATGTTTGGTTTGATGTGGTCACGCAGTGGCCATAGGCCCGCCAATGGTGTCTCGCTTACTCTCACCCTCCTCACTCTGACTGTCTCGGGTTCTCTGATATGGTTTTTGTTCTCTTGTGGTCACATGCTGAAGATTTTTATGGATGGTTTCTATTATGATTAAAAAAAAATTACTTCACATATTGAGTTAGAAAAAAACAAAAAGATTGACACACCAGAAACAAATTGCTTCAATGCTGAAACTTTACCTACACACTGAGTCAGTTTTTGGAGAGTTTTGGATTAAGTGAGTGAGTCCAAGTAATTTAAGACGCATAATTAAAATATTTGGTCCAACTCATATGCTTCCTCTTTCTTTCCTTCTTTTTTTTGCATCTTTAGAGATGGTGAGGAAGAAGAATCCCCCTATCCGGAGTGTGGGAGGTGAGGAGGAAGAGGAAGAAGAGGGGAGGAAGCCAACAGGAGAGGAAGAAGATGAAGGCGACGAGGAGGAGAGAGTGGCAGCGGAAGCAGATCGGATAAACCGACCCTCCGAACCAGAGTCCTCTGAGCGGATCCGAGGAAACGAGGAGCAAGACGAGGAGGATGAAGCAGAGAGTGAGTGCATCTCCTCTGTCGGTGAGCTCTACATTAATGAGGAGCGAGGGGGGAGGACTGCAGGCGGAGGGGCGAGGGCAAAACAAGCATTAGCAGCACAGTGTGAGAGACCGGAGAGCCAGTTGGGAGCCGAGGACAGGGAGAGGGGAGCAGAAGGAGGGGAGACTGACCACCTCACTCCTCCTCTCCCTTCAGCACCTCGAGTCCTTTCCAGGCAGGAAGGGAGGGAGGAGTCAACCAATGAAACCCCGGCACTCTCGTCCAGCCCTTCTCCCAAACTCCAGGACTTCAAGTGCAATGTGTGTGGTTATGGCTACTATGGCAACGACCCTGCTGACCTGGTGAAGCACTTTAGGAAGTATCACCTGGGTCTGCACAACCGCACACGACAGGATGCTGCTCTTGACACCCAGATCCTGGCCCTCCACAACATGGTCCCCCAGCATACAAACTTAGGTAATTCCTGCTTCAATGAAAGTTATATGTTTGCTTTTATATAGTCCTAGTGTAAGGCTTTCTTAATCTGAACTCGGTACACTTTTGAAAGACAAACTGGTCCGACTGATAAGCAGTTAACATCATTTCAGATCAATGCCATTGATTAATTTATTATTTAAACATGTTCTGATTAAAGCTTCTTGAATTGTCTTCATGTGTCAAACTCTTTGCTGTTCTGTTGTCAGATTTACAAATAGGACAGGGAGCGAGAAGTCAAACCAAAGAGCTGGGGAAGGCGAGAGCTGATGGACAGAATCAGCAGCAGAGGACAGTTATGATGAACGGAGCGTACGACATACAGGTATGTGTCACTCAAAAGTTACACATAAAAACATTTAACAAAGTCAGAGGTATTTTGTAAGGGGCATCTGTAAAGTACAGTTCATTTGTTTATTCTACATTTCTTGTACAGCAGGTGAGTCAAAGACCAGATATTTTCTATCTAGATTGTAACTTTTTTTGCAGAATTTGTATTTCTACAACATTGAGGTGTATTGTGGTTGTAAATGTAGTGGAGTCTGAATAGATCTGCTTTATTGTATGATATAAATGTGCACTGAGAAATATGCCTATTTTCATCTCGACCAACCTTAACCAGTTGCAAGAACACTCAAAGATTTGATCTATTTCTGATTAGCAAAAGCAAAGTTTTTAAGTGCTTCAGTAATTATTCAATCTGGCCGATGTTGCAGATAGGAGTGGTCATTGATAGGAGTGGTCATTGAAATGGTTGCAAATGAAGTCACTGGTAGCACATAAACAAATTGTGCTTCCAGTGACACGATCAGAAGGTGTTTAGGTTAATTGTCACCACTTGTTTGCAACTTGTAGAGTTAGATGCTGCAGCAGATAACAGGAAGGTCCACTGTCTTGAAGTGAAGTTGCTCTTTTTTATTCTCTGAGCTTCCAACTTTAGTCATTAAACAGGTGAGATCTGGAAATATGAGCTTTTTGCTAATCTCAAATATAAGAGCAATCTTCTTGTAAGAATATGTGCTATTATGTCTACTCCTGACATAAGTAATTCATGACCAGCCTTGTTAGGAAGGCTAGAAAATATTATGTTGAATGATCTAGAGAAACCAAAACCACCTAAAATGGGAATGAAGGTCAGAAATTGACCACAAAGTTCTGAAATACAGCATCGAGTTACAACTACAACATTGAAGACATTTCTCAAAATGGATATTTCCTTCAATGAAGGAGATGGACTAAAATAAAAATGTATACAAATCGGATCAATTGGTGAAATGTTAGAATTACTGATCTGGTGTCCATGTGTTACACTGATAGAAACAAGAACACCTGACACACAAGCAGCAAATACAATGTTATTCAAAAACAAGTGAACTTGTTGTTCAGCTGCTTGGCTGAAGTCTTGAAATGCTTTTGTGTTCATTCATATTAATCTTTGCTCTAATTTGACAATGGTATCTGCTCAGAATTGCTTTGAAAAGACAAGATACATTAATGTAGATTAGACGAAGAAGAAAATCCACGTACAAGGCAAAAGTAAGCTTCCCTGGGAATTCTAGTTGAGTGTAATTTTAGTGTGCAGCCTGGATCTCAATCCTCTGGAGGTTAGAAAAGTTGATTCTGTTGTGTTCAGCTTCGCTTTAAATCAAGAGGCTCCTAATCAGGGAAATTAACAGCTGCGGACTTGGTCCGAAAAAGAAAAACAAAAAGAAAAAGCATAAAACGCCCTCCACTCAACATTGATTTGCTGTGGCTGCTAATGATAAACATTAAAGTGTCAGGAAGGAGGAAAGAAAAAAAAACTTTACATCAGGTATGTACTGCCTCCTATAGAGGCTCAATCTGTGTTATTTAGCTATTTTTTTTTCTCTGTTACACCATATTATCTTAATTGGCACATATATATTTTATCATACATCAAATAAAGCTTTGTGCTTTGTTCTGTCAGTCTATCAGATATGTAGAATGATTTATTTATTTTGCCATTTTTGCGTATTGGGACAACCTGAATTATAAGTCAAGGATTAGAGCTTTGAGTGCGTGAACAGAAACCGCAAGATTTTGTACTAAAAAGTTTAGGTAAGTTGATTTTATAAATGTAGGTGAGAGGAAAACTCAATGAGCTTCATTTCATTTTTCCCAGCTTTCAGTAATTTTGCTCAGTTGTATAATGGACTCAAAAAGGCACAGCAGTCCACATGCAGACTTACGAGTCCGAAATAGAAAATCCAGCGGGTTATATCATAATTATGAAGAAAAAGTGAAAGTATTAGGGGAAAAAAGGGGGAATGAAAGGGATCTCTATTCTCTCTACCCCTCACTTAATTTTTCTCCTTTCAGCCCATGTTTGGAAAATTCCATCTTGTCATTTACTAAGACCAGGATCTCTGTCAACCAATGAAAAATAATTATAGAAAAAAAAGAAAACAAAACAATAATCGAGGAAAGGAATAGTGCAAAGAAGAAATGAATAAGAAATGGAGATGAAGAGGAAAGGAGAGAAGGTAGTGAAAGAGACAGACGGTGAAGCTGTACTTCTAATCGACTGTTAGGGAGTCTAATGAAACAGATGTCAGACATATTTAACCCTCTCTTTTTCTTTCATTCACCATTATTTTATACGTCTTCGTCTCTCCTTCATATCTCTGTTTTCAATTTTTTCCTTGCTCCCTCTTTCTGAGTAATAAATCGTTTTTTCTAAGTGCTCAATTTGCTTTTAATCCATCTTTTCCCTCCTTCTTTCCCGCCACCCCAGTTTCTAATGCATACTCTTTTCCTCAACACGTCCTATTTGCCTTTTGCCTTGTTTGATTCTACCCTGGTGTTTTCTTTAGGCACAAAGACATTAAGTCACAAAAACAATATTTTACGCAGATGGCACTAGAAAATATTTTAGACGTCCAAACATTAATATGAATATTAACACAAATGCAGGGATTCGCATATTTTAAGGCTGTTCGAGTTACGGCCAATTCCTCTTCCTCTGAAGTATCACTAGTTGTATATGAAATAATTTACAAACGTTTGCAAAAGATGTTTAAGATGTAGCTAAGACTCAGTTACATTATGTTTTTATCGGCTCCCTATTATTTTTTCTAGATTCAAAAGTGCAATATTTCCCAGAACAGACATGCTAATTTGGATTAAAAGTATTCAAAGTAATGTCACTAACCCATCTGATTTGCTATCAGATCATTAGTTTATTCTATGTGGAGCAAATCACAGGTTAATAATTATAAGGACTGTTAGATCTTGAAGTTAATTACATTTGTCCCCTGGCTTTAAATGAAAGGTTTCAAAAGTAAGTTGTGATTAAATATGTCTCCTGTATATAACTGAAGGTCAGCCTTAGCGTCTGTGCAGTTTAGCAGTAAACCAGACAGTTGGCAGTTTATTGTATTTTATCAGGATATTTTATGTGATTCTAAGTATCTATTTTTTTAAAATGTGCATAAAGTCCAACTCTAACAGCTCAATCTTTACTGTAACGTTGTTTTCCCTTTTCTCCTCCTCACCAGGTGACGTTGGGTGGCACCTTAATCGGAATTGGCCGTAAGACGTCTGACTGCCAAGGGAACACTAAGTACTTCCGCTGCAAATTTTGCAACTTCACATACATGGGCAGCAATTCCTCGGAACTTGAACAACACTTTTTGTCCTCGCATCCTAACAAAGTAAAATCTCCCCCAACCACACCCCTGCTGGCCACCAACAGCCTGGCGACGCACGACAGTCAGCTAAAAGGGAGGAGTGTGATGTTGGATGCTGGCGAGCGGGTGGCGGTGCGAGCCGAAGACGACTCCGTGGTTGGGTACTTCATCCCGGTCAGAGCGGGTTCTGACTCATCGGGCTGGACGGGGGAGGCCGGTCGAGGGGCCATACAGGCGTGTTATTGGTGTAAACTCTGCAGTTGGAGTTGCGAGTGGTCAGAAGGTTCAGCTAAGCTTTTAGAGCACTATGAACAAAGGCATAAGGCTCCTTCTGGTGGTGCTATAAGCCCTAACAGCTCTGGGATTGACAGAGAGAGGGAGAGAGGAGGAAGAAAAGATAGAGAGCAAGATCACATGGCATCCAAAAGCTGCAAAGATCACTTCACCACCAGCCAAGGTAATGAAAGAAGTGTGAAGTAAGTGTGGTGGAACGTGGGTGCAAATATTATACAACTATTGCAACATTGCTTCTTTATATTTAACATCATTTTAATTAGAGCTGTGATATTACTTTGCACAATTATCCACCTTGAAAAATGATTATGACTTCTTGAACTTTTTCACGCTACACTCTTAAACTTCAATGTATCTTATTGGGATTGACTGTGATAAACCAACACAAGGTAGTGGACATTTTTAATAAAGTGGAACATCTGTTAGAGAATATTAGCAAACAAAACAACATAATAAAGACAGTTCATAGATAAAGTTGTGAAAAGAAAAGCTTTTACGGCGGGGTTCGGTTATAAAACAGTACCCCAACTGTGAACAACTCACAGAGCTCTGTTTAATCCATCCTCTAAAAGTAAAAAGAGTATGACAACTGCGAACCTATGACATTGCCATCTCGCTAAATTGATAGGCCGGTCAAGGAAAGCATTAATCAGAGGAGCAGGCAACAGGCCGATGATAACTCAGAGACAGACTGAGAGGCACAAGGAGCTTCGCTTGTGATTTTCCACAAGCAATGGCGGGGACACAGAAAACTGTTTGAAAGAGAACAAAGCTGAACTTTTAATTGAACTCTTGGCATACGGACAAAATGCTGTCTGCAGCAGAAAATCAAAATTTGACATCATTGGAAATATTTTCTCTGTAGTGAACTGCGGTGATCATTCTTTCAGGATGCCATTTTTCCAGCAGTGACAAAGAAGCTGGTCAAATTATGGGAATGGGGATGGAGCTAAATCCAGGACAGATCTATATAGAAAGCCTTTTAGAGGCTCCAAAACAAGACTGCAGCCGAGGTTCACCTTCCATTAGGAGACCAAGCATAAAGCTAGAGCAAGAATCAGATGGTTTACATAAAAGCACATACATTTTAGAATGACCCAGTCAAAATCCAGACCTAAATCTATTTAAGAATTTGCATCAAGATTTGAAAATCGATTCTGCAGACACTTTCCGTCCAATCTGACCATGTTGACACTTTAATGCAAGAAGATAAGATAAAAATGTTCATCTTTACATTTACAAAGTTGTTGGAAATATACCTGCTGTTGGATTTGCAATGTTAGGTGATTCTATAAAATGTTGACTCGGAGGAAAAGGATAAAAGCGCAAATGTACACCACAATTTGGCATGCGTAAAAAATGCTGTCTGCATTGATATGTGGTTTGTAAAAACGTTTTAAAAATCATGTATCATTTTCCCTTCACCTGACAATAATGCACTACTTTGTGTTTGTCTGCCATGCAAAATAGTCATGGTCTGTGATTCTGTAGAGGAAAATGTAGGAAAAGTTCATTTAGTATGAATATTTTTGGACGGCCCTGTGCATTTGAGCTCCTTGCAAAAGGTTTTACAGAAGATTTCTGTGTTCTGATCCCAGGAGACCCAAAAACTGGCGATTCAGAAGCTGTCGTGACCAGCTACAACTGTCAGTTGTGCGATTTCCGTTACTCGATGGCCCACAGTGCGGACGTGATCATCGTTGCTCCGTTGCTGCTGCACTACCAGCACAACCACTCCATCCACCGCTGTTGCATTCAGCACTGCATGTATTGTCCTCAGGGGCTCTGCCAGCCCCAGAAACACCTGGGAGAGGTGAGCTGCATGAAAAGCTGAAACATTTGATGTTTGCTCTGTAATTACTGGGGAACAAAAATATGCGTTTTTCTGCAAGCGCATAAAAATGAAATGGAATACATGAACAAGTGTAAAGTTAATTGTTCCGATTTCCTGCTTAGTTAAAATTCCCTAGCTTCTCTGAGTCTGCCCACGCACACTGCCTACCCTCCTTTGTGCCAGCTGCCAAACAGTGCTGTTGCAGCTGCTAAAAATACAAAAAAGGATAGTAAATATTTTAGGCTTTTATTAATAATGCACACTAATTTTACTGCTGCTGACTTCCACTGTTCTTTTTTTTTTTGATGTGTTTCAAACTCATCAACCCAATTCTGACAAATAACCAAAGCATACAAACATGGAAACAATTGTTTGACAAAATATTTCTCTCGATAGGTATCCCACCCTTTTGCTTGCCGGAAGCCAACCTGTTCTAAATGCTGTTCAAAGTTTCCTCAGCCTACCAAGCAGCAGGACGCGATTGGTTCAAAACCCACTGCTGCCACCTCACCCAGCGTGACCCCTCCTAACCCAAGAGGTGACCCCAGTGTGATTTCTGGTTCCACCTTTCACACCTCTAACCCGGCACATCCTGTTGTTACACAAGGTATTTAAAGGCATAGGTGCAGAAAACCATTTCCATTTGCTAATCGTTTTCTTCATGTGAACATTTTAAACTTCCATCTTTCAGGTTTTTGTTGTCTTGATACTGTTCTTCTCTCCAGGTGTCACTCACTTGTGCGACCAGTGTGCATTTGCCACTACAGACATTGATGTGTTGCTGCAACACTATGAGAGCTGTCACAGCATAATCAAACTAAAGGGGGCACCTCCACAAGTCAAGGCTGAAGAGGAGAGTGAAGGAGACAAGGAGGGAGGCAGAGGAGGAGCAGGAGAGACCGAGCACACTTGTACAAAGTGTAGCTTTGTCACACAAGTGGAAGAAGAGCTTTTTAGACACTACAGGTGAGCAGGACATCTTGCAAATAGCTAATTAATTGTTTTTGGACAATACGTAGTGAATAAGAAAACTCTCCATCTGTTTCACTACAATGTCAGTCATACTGGCTCTTCTAAAGAGTAAATATTCCACACTGGTTTCTACATACTCAAGTATTAAAAGCAGCTACTTAAAACATTTCATTCAAAAGTCAAGAAGGCCAGCAAGCATTTTCTGTGCCAGGCTGATCACATTTCAGCAACAACCCCTTTGTGGAACTATTTTTAAGAAAAGTTTTGATACCATTCATACCCATTTCCAACCAGGTGCAAGAGTTGAGTGATTCTTGAGGAAAAGTAACATTTTCCAGGTCATGTGAATGTCTTTAAAGTCGAGTACCAATGTACTGTTTGAATTTCTTGATGTGGAATAGAGCGTTAAAAAGAAAAGGAGTGAAAAGTCCATCCTTCCTGTATTGTGTTTTTGTGGCTATTTTTTAAATGATAAGTTAGTCTTGGATGAGACAGGTTAGAATATCCTTTTTAACAAACCAGTCAACTACCCAACTAATCAATTCCTTCAACCAACTAACTAACTAACCAGGCAGCCAACCATAACAAATTATACAACCAGCGCTATAACCAATCAACTCACCATGCAGTGAGTAATGTAGACATCCAACCAAGCTACTAGCCAGTCATTTAACCACTCATTTCCAGTCTTATAAATGAGCTGACTATTCAATTAATTAACTAGCAAACCACTCAAATAAAAGGGCCACTGTGTTTAGAACATAGCACGCAAACAAAGTGATTGATTATTTTGTTGCTTTAATGGCAGTATTCATTTTTTTTAAGCTCACCAGTCATTTCACCAGTTTGTTTTCTGCAATTCTTGGCAAAAATTGTAGAAGAAATCAAACATGACATTACAATGCATCTCTGAAGTAAAATTAGGACTTAACACAGAGATAACTTTAAATGAGATTACCTGACTTGGACAAAAATATTCAAGAATACAAAAATACAATATATATTTTTTTCAGATTGAGTATTAATTAATCTATACTTCTAGTTTAGTGGGGTCCTAGAAAAACAATAAAACAGATGTTCTCAAAAGTTTTACACAAGAAACAATGATGTGGGGTGAACCATGGTAGGGAAATAAAAAGAAAGGAGAGAAAGGTGAGAAATCAGTTATGAGATGTTTTTTACGGTGCAGTCCCATTTCAAACAAAATGCTCGTATACTCTGATACTCGGTGCTGTGATCAAATAAAAGTGAGCTAAAGCCACAGCTTCATACCCCCAGTAAAATCAATCAGAGCTAAAAGGATTCTAAAGTTTTAGAGAACAAATTTGGGATTTAATTCAGTGGTGTTTGAAACAAAGGGCTGTGGTGTAATGAGAAAAAAGGTTACCTGCCAAAAGAGTGATCACTCAGACATATAAATGGAAAGGTGCATTGTACAATCAGTGCTCTAGCTTCTAAGCTAATTATTAAATTTTATGTACAAAAACAAAGAAAAACACCTCTCAAGTGGTGTTCCCTTCTTTTGGCAGTGCAGCCAGAAAAGGCATCTTGATTTTCTTTTTGAAATTGCATGTATTAATTTAGCTTATTTATCATCTTCATTAAGTGGCTGCAAGTAATCTATGTATTCCAAAACTGAGCACAGACTTTTTAAGTGTCAGCCTTGAAAAAAAAAAAATCTTAATCCATGCCACAATTTAAATCGAACAGGAAAGCACCACTCACTGAATATTTTGCTGCACTGCCCTAAAAGTGTGATACAAGTTGTAATTTTTAGCAATGCATTAGAAAGCCTAACAGTGCTACAAGCACAACATATTACCAAATATTCAGAATAACGTGATCTTGAAATAAAGTACAGTTTAAATCTTGAGTTGATATATGATCATTTATATTTTCACATATTTTGTTTTAGTTTAGTTTTGACCAGACTGGCTGACATATTTAAGTGGTTCTGGTGCAGTTGTTTGGTATCTCCAGTTGCATCTCCAGGGTCCGGATGACAGCAGTCGCACTGCTTCACATGATCTGCACTAACAGAATAATCACACAAGAGTTACTTTTAATCAAACTAACCTGTCGAGTGTGAAGACACTTTCTGAACCCACTGGGTTTCAGATGGCCTCTCCAAACGAGACATTCTTTAACCTGCTGGAAAAACGACTTATAGCTTATGAGAAGGAAAAGTAAAATCTATTTAATCCTCATATTTGTGCGTCTTCTATTTTTTGTATAATTTAATTGATTTATTTCTTGCGGTGTGAGTGTCTTCTCTACATAGAGGTTGTTTTTCTGCTATCATTGACATTTTTGGCATACTTACTGTACATCCTGCTGTTGTAAAATACTCACACTGCGGGGCATCAATAAGAAGCTGCTGTTGAGAAACAGCCAAGTGAATGCAATAGCCAGTGTTTAGCAGATTACTGCTGCTGGGTGACATCTGAGCAAGTGAAGCTTTAGTTCAACATGACTTGACTGCCAAAACAATAGCCCTTGACAAGATAACACAAGATATTTTCATAGTACTTTAAAAGCCTTTCAAAAAGTACGCATACCCTTGAATTTTTTCATGTTGGATTAACAAGCTCCTTTGTAATTTTCAGAAATTTCTGGCGATAGAACTGCCGAATAGTGAAGTGGAAGGAAAATGATGGCATTTTCTGGGAAGGGGTTGGGTTTTATTTGCTGGCTTTTAAAATAAAACCCAGCACAACTAATTGTCTTTAAAAGTCACCTAGTAAACAGAGTCTCCAAATGCTCCCTGTGAATGCCTCAGAGGCGTTAGCGAAAACACAGTTTCATGAACGCCAATAAACACAACAGACTAATCAGGGATTCAGTTAGAGAGATGTCCCAACCATCTAGTGTTGCTTGTATTAAAAGAAAAGCATAATCTAAATACAGGGCCAGTCCCTCAAGAAAACCCATTCAGAGTGCCCAAAGTCATACTTCGACTGAGGTTTGTCTCCCGGTATGACAATGAAGCATCTTTCTGTTTGAGTAGATCACTTAAAGTTTAAATGCTCATGTCATAGAGAATTTGACTCTATGTTGGTCTATCTCAAAAATGGCAAAATAAAATGAAGTGTGATGTTGTATGAATGTTTGTATTGTCAAAACATTCAGAATTACTATGAAGACAATTTCCTTAAAAATACAGAGTTGAATAATCTAAGAAATGCATAAATATTCACAATATTCCCTTTCTATAAAAAACCCCTCTTATATATACATACTGTACATAGAGGTTACTGGGTAGTACTGCTCATGTCAAGTAAATGTAAATTAGCTGCCCGTGGTCTGAGTTGAGTTTGTGTGGGTGTAGGTATGTGTTAAAGGTGATTCATTGATCTTTTTTCTTGCTTTCCCACACATGAAGCACCCAACATGTTTTTCTCTATGCCAGGAAGAAAATGTAGCCTGATGTCTTGCTCTGGAAATATAGCAAACCATTCAGGGGTTGGCCCAGCAGGAAATGAAGGTGGCTTGTTGACGGTTGATTCGGTGCTTGATGTTCAGATTCATTTATGCTCCTCACCATTTTCGAGTAATTCGTGGTGATTTAGTGGAACTCTGAGTCACTTTTTGGCCACAAGTTCCCTGGAAGTCAAGACCTGAGTGCTCTGAGGAAATCAAGCAGGGCCAAACGCACTTTTGATTTATTCATTTCCGGGGGGCGGATTTTCTTCGTTCTGGTGTGGAGCTGCGTGAATAAGGGACTTTTACTTATTTAAATGGGCAGATGAAAAGGTGAGCTGATTGAACTGAAAACAAAACAAAGTCTGCAGAGCTGCCTTCAGTCACATTACTGTACTACTGTGATGACTCATTACTAGATTTGATGACTCTCAAAGTCATGATCTGGGTTTCTGATTAAAACTGAAAATGAAGATTTGTACTTTTCTTTTTCACCAGGCGTGTCCACGCGTGTTGCCGCTGCCGACACTGTGACTTCACTGCTCCTGATTCATCGGCCCTCCTCGACCATTTTAATTCTGCCCACTGTCAAGACGCCTCTCCTTCATTAGGCTCTCAGCCCACCTCAATGACACCGTCGCTGGCGCTTTCGGCCAATGGGTGCTCAGCTCCCTCGACTTTAGCCATTAAAGAGGAGAGCAAGGGGGATCTACGACTTCTATACTCTCTAGCTCCACCTGAGGGACGATTGGCGGAGGCAGGCAGAGAGGAGCCCAGCGGTGTAGTTAAAAGCGAAGGAGTGGAGGAAAAAGAAAGAGAACGGGAGAAGGGTTGGGTTCTCGGAGAGACAAGAGGCCCGGGAGAAAGAGGAGGTGAGCAGGCCCACGGATTACTCTGGGTACCCAAGGAGCGGATGGGGCCCGAAAGAGTAGCAGAAAGAGGAGCAGGAGGTGGGAGCCCTTCTCTTCCCCTCCCCGCTCTCCCTCTCTTTCGTTTCAGCCAATCACGAGGGTTCGCAGCAGAAGAGAGGCATGGCTTCGCCGGGCATGGTTTACCTGGGAGACACCAAGCCATTTTTGGGAGATACCAAGTCGTTTTTGGGAGGAGGGAGACCAGGAGGAGCTACTGCAGGTGGAGGAGAGAAGCAGAGCCAGATACCTTCACAACAGTATCCAGGTGGAGGAGGAGGAAGTGGAGGTGCAGGAGCACAGGAGGGGAAAGGAGGAGCCACAAAAGAAGAATCCCAGTCTCTGCTAAGAGTAAGCAGAACATGCACCACACGCGTTATCAGAGTCCCCTGCTAAATCTTTTCTCTTTTTGTGAAACTTGAATAAAAAAAAAGTATTGTTGGAGTAACACAAAGTAATTCAGAAATCAGAGGTGGAAGGAAAATTATAAATATATAATATAACCATATTTATATATAATTTATATAATATAAATTATAAAATAAAAATCTGCAAAGTGTGTTGGCAATTCTTTTTAGTCCCCTGTTCTCTGAAACCCCTAAATACAATTGATGTCATAAGTAATTTAGTAAGTAAACAGAGTTCCCTTGTGTGTAAATTAATCTCAGCATAGATACATGTGTACTGTGTATACTGGCAGGCAAATCAAGAAAATAGCCAAGATGGCAACAATGGAGGCGCCCAACAGAAATCAACAACCCATGTACCATTGGTTGAAAAGAAACTATTAATTATTTGCTTCCCAAATCTGACTCTTGTGTAAGCCTGGCGAGAAGAAAGACATTGTGGGAAGTGAGATATAAAAGATCTCACATATATTTTGGTGTCATAAACACAGAAAACATGTAAATGAAAGTCATTTGGTCAGATGAGATTAAAGTGTAACTTCCTGGTTTAGATGTAAAAGGTTTTATTTGGTGGCAAATAATCTTGAAATCAACATCACTAAAACATGGAAGTGGGATCATCGTGGTGTGCAGATGCTTTTTTTCTGACAGGGAAGCTTTTTTTTAAAGTTTTTGTACCGCTAGTGACTTTTATCCATTAGTAGCTGGACATGACGAAGGGCAGAGATGTATAACTGGAAGACATGCAGCAAGTGACCATCCTAACGTGGAACTTTTTTACCACATAACTCAAAGGAAAAGCCAAAGGAATTTTCACATGTGCAAAGTTGGTGGAGACGTACCCCAAAAGACTGAAGATGGTAATTGAAATGAAAGCTGGTTTCATAAAGTACTGACTGAGAAGGACTAATCATAAACACACCTTTCAGATTTTTATATGTAAAAACAAACAAACAAGTATTCTTTTAATACCACTTCATAATTATGCCCTATTTTTAAGTATTTCTATCACACAAAATCCCATTTCAGTCTATTGCTACAGTGTGTGGTGTCAAAATGTTAAAGGGGTAGGAATACTTTGTAAGTCATTATGAATACTGATTTCTTTGTGATGGAAGCCCATAGGTCAGCTTTGTCTCATTCACTCTGAGACTTTTCAGAGTTCAGCCCTGATTCTGGGATTTTTCCTGCTGGGATTGCTAGTTATCAAAATGCCTTTTTTTAATACACTTTCATCCTCAAATAATCTTCCCTTTGATTCCAGTACGTGGAGTAGATCTCATGTGGCGAGCTGCTACAACCTAATCTGTTTGCCTCTAATCATATTTACAGTTTATGCAAAATATGTTTGCCAGCAAAGCCTCTCGCACGAGTGCGCTCATATCTGTTGTGCACATGCCTCCATGACATCATTTCCCGTTCCCATCAGCCACATTCATCTTTCTCTTCTGAATCAAATTTTAAACTTCACAACACAGGGAAACTTTCCTGTCGTCCTGGCAACTGAGGGTGGCTAACCGACTGTTCCCATGAATCCCACCTGTCACTCACTTTTCTTTGCCCAATTCTGTGGACCATAATGCTTTTCACTCTGCAGTGATGTCATGGACTGGCAGGCGTAGCTTGTGGTTCACCAGCGCCACAGAGCTTATTTGCTCTGATCACATTGGATCAGAAAAAACTATTCTCTCTCAATGTGTGTGTGTGCATGCACGCGTGTACGTGCGTGTGTGTGCATATGTGGTGTCAGGGCACTGATACTGGCAGTATTAAGTGGGAGACGGGTGGAACCGGTGTGTGTGGATACGCATACGAGTGCGACAGTTGAGTCTATGACTTCTTTGTACAATCTGTGGTGGGGCCTGCTGCAAATGTGTATTTGTGTGTCTGAGGTGTTGGCAGCAACTTGGCAGTCTGGGCAGGGTGGGGCAGCAGGAGGTTTACTCATTACTGTGGGTGGAGCTGTATGTCCCAGCGAAGAAGTGGGAGAGTGACACTGAAATAAAAGAGAGATGCATGAGAATGAAAGGGAGGACTGAGATAAGGATATTGAGAGCACGCTAATTAACTAACAATCCATTTGTGGCACTTTCTAGAATAATACAGCAGCCGCTGCATTTATTGACACTCCTTGATATGATGTGTGAAGTAAAAGCAAGATAAATTATTGCAGAAAACGTTAATGAACCCTGCTGTTCATAATGTGCATAAACCCCTTTGATTGCATTTAATCTTCTCCAGGTTTTGTGCATAAAAGAGATGAGTCTTTAGCCTTTCTTCTGGGCACAATCGTTGTTGCATCATCCAGAGTCTTGGATGTGGGAACTGTGTTTTGGATCATTATTCTGCTAAATAACACAGTGACGACTCATTTTTAATTATCTATCTGAGGTAAGGGGAATTTTTTTTGTTTTAAATTTCCTGTTGTGTCAAAGACTCTGTGATGCAATGCACTCTGACAAAGTTCTGAGGGCCTTTGGGAGAGAAAATGGCCCACAGCATCACAGATCCTCCGCTGCAGTTCACACTGGGCATGAGGGATTTTTTTTCCACACACTCATTTTTTGTTTCACGCTGAGTCCAATTGCGACACTTTTTTCAAAGCACACAGTTTGAGGTAAAGACTCAATAGAATGCAGACAATTCTTGTATTTATTGTATGCGATTGGGAAAGTGGCATCTCTTGCAAACTTTGTTGGCATAAGACAGTTTTAATGGACACCTGGTGAGTGCAAGATGCTACTCTTTGTTGTATTCCTTCCTCTCACCAAATTATAGGTGGATTTTCTTCTCAATGTTTATTTGTGAGATTTTACTACTGTGAGGAAAGATGAAATTGGTGTTTTCCCCATATCTTTACTTGTACCACCAGTACAGCTTAAAGTCAGTGCAATGCACAAGTGATGGGGTTGATTCAGACAGTGCAACAAAGACACGCAGTTTAATCAACATCCTTATCTTGCATCTGTCCTTGACGAGCGCTTCACATGTAGAAAATTCAATTTATTTAATTAGAGATAAACGCTGATCTCTGATTTGTTTAGCCAAGAAGTAAAAAAAAAACATTTACATTTTAATAATGAGAGTGAGATATATCGATGCTTTGTTTTGACAGATTTCCTCATGCAGACACAATTCATTCGAGACATTATAATAGGCTGGAGTTGAGTCAGTACTACTCAAAATGAAAGAAGAATAAATGTTTGTAAGTTTAAGTTTTATCCTGTCTGTAGCTTATTGCACACAGACACAGAGGAGGAAACCAGTAGAATGAGGCTCAAGATAGAAGATATTGATGTGATGTAAGTGAATCTGTCCAAAATATAAAATTACTTTTGGAAATTTAATGTGATATATTCATGCAAAGGGGGAGTTACCACTCGGTGGTAAAAGATTAAAAAGAGACAAAAATGGAAACAAATACCCCAAGTCGGATTTAATCTTCACCTGTGTGTGTGTCTGTAGATATGTGTGTGCGTTTCTTCACCTGTGCGGCACTCCACTTGCCTTTGCGAGCGTTTTCCCTCAATCCCCACTCACGCTTGCCGTTCTCCGCTGCATCGATCCGCCTCTCCCCTTCCCCGTTTTATTCTTTTTCTTTCATTTCCCTTCTTTCCTCAAAGGACAACTTGCCCGATACATGGGGATCGATGCGCACCTCACAGACATTAAAGCGCTCAGTTGCACGCGTACACACCACTACTGTGCAGGCATGCGAAAACATGTGTATGTCCACATAGAGAATGGGAGTCTTTAGTATGCTGGTACGTGCAGCGTTTTGCTTTGTAGAGGGAGAGAAATACTGTCTTTGAAAGGTGTGGTGTCTAATTGCTGAGGCAATGGTCTGCTGCTGACTTTGTTGTCCCAGTGATTTGGACAGTGTTTTGTCTTTGTGAAATGTTCTCGTTGTTTGACTGACTGCATGAGAGAAGAGTTGAAACCATGTCAGATTTAGAAAATAAGTTAAAATGAAACCTTTTAGTTTATAAATGAAATGAGACGGGCATTTGAGCAACAGTGGACTTTAGGGTTAAGAACAGCGAGGAAGTAGAAAGAAAACACATGTGAAGACGTGTAGGTGCACCAAACCATCTGTGAGTCGACATTAGATTGATTTTATCTGATAAATTCCAGATTTCCCGAGACAGCAGGTAAGCGAAATGGATGTTGGCAAGGAGGATGAATTTCAGGATATTACTCTATGAACTTAATATAGTGATGTGTTCCTAATGTAGTCAAGTATCATAGACTGAGAGTAAATAAATTCGCATGAAAAATGGAAAGGAAAGGAGAGAGAAAAAAAGGATGTCTGGAAGGAAGAACACAAATAAGGACAGAACTAGTGGAGAATGAACTAAAGGCAAAAAAGAAAGGAAAGAAAAAAGAAAGAAAGTGACAAAGGACAAGGCAAAATGGAAGGATACAGAAAAAAGCACACAGCACTCTTTCTGATGACTCTTTGAAGGAAAAGACTGGAGATAATAATGAAGTAAAGTATGGCAAAATTAATTGCAGAAGGAGGGCGTGGGAAATGCAAAGAAGCAAGAAAAAAAACAAGGAAGAAAGTGAGAAGGAACGGACATTTGGAAGAAATTAAACACATTTAATATTCCTCAAAACCTCGTTTAGTGGACAGAAATGTGGACAGTGACTGTTTCTTTCAGGTCTAATTTAGAATTCAGATGCTTTCTATTTTTTGTCTTTATGGCTGTGATGTGGATCACTGAATGGGTTCTCACGCTGCTGCTTCTTCACCTAATTACATGCAATTTGTGTGCATTTGCGTTTAAGTGTGTGTGAGTGCATCTGAGGTTGCGTATTTGCAGAGAAAATTAGAGTATAAATGTAACTTATTTGCTGTACTGATAATTTGGCATCACTTATATCTGCTGCAGGTCATTAGAGCTTATGTTTTAATTTGTCTCTATTTGTGTGCATCTTTAT